GGCCTTGCCCAAGGGAACAAAGCTGAGCCCAGTCCCGCTGGATTCCCCGGCATTGCCCAAGGGAACAAAGCTGAGCCCGATCCCGCTGGATTCCCCGGCCTTGCCCAAGCTCTGGCTCGCACAGCCCTGAGCACGCAGCTGGGGGCTGACCCTGGGCAAGGCCACCCCGTCCTGGCACCGCCGGCACCGTTCCCGATATCCACTCCCTGGCTGCTCTCCCGCAGCGTCAGCCCCGGAGCGAGGTCCCAGCTGGGTCCCGGCCGTGCCCCTGGCCTTGGCGCAGCAGGGCTGCCCCTCCACGTCCTGATGGCCAAGGCCACTGCTGGCCATGGGCAGGGATGCTGGGAATGCTGGGCTCAGTCCTCAGCAGCACCACCCCCTACTCCAGCAGGACTCTCCCTGCCCAAGCTCCCCCCGCTCCCGGTGCAGGCAGAGCAGCTCATCCCGAAGGGCTCAGATCCTGGGAACGTGGAGGTCAGGCTGAGGCTCCCCAGCCCTGGTTTCCTGGATGCTGACACTGGGTGAGCACAGAACAAAGCAGGCAAAGGCCAGCAGTGATGTCACACAGTGATGTCACACGGTGATGTCCCATGGCCACCCTGCCAGTTTCACAGGAGGCAGGCAGAGCTTTGAGCCAGGAGGTTTTGGGATCTCTCCAAGGGTAATCACACGGACATTACTCCAATTATGTACCATTCTATGCTCATTACAGGTGTATTTTAAGCAGCTCCTTTCCCCAAGAACCACAGGTTGTCTCATCCTCCTCCCTTTGCAGACTGTCCCCTGGGCCCTGTCACCCCACTGGGCTGGCAGCAGCAGCCCTGGCACTGCCACTTCCATGGCAGAGCACGGACAGACCCACAGCTCATGTGATCCTACAGCACATGCAGGGCCTGGCTGCCCTCCCCAGTTCCTCGGAGCCTGCCTGGCCTCCCTGGACTGCCATCACTCAGCCAGGGCTTCCCAAACTCAAGCCAAAGGGACCATTCCCAAACCTGCAGCAGGATGGGTCACTGAGTCTCCATGGAAAATGCAGGAACGTGTCCCACTGCTGGAGCTGTTACCCAGCTCTGGACCTGCAAGGACCTGGCAGGTCACTTGTCTCTCACAGGTGTGTGGGATGTTGTTTCTCTCCCAGGATAAATGGGAGATCCCAGCTGAGCATCTCCTGGGAGACCTCCAGGCCTGAGCTCTGCTCCCGGGATTGCCCTCCTGGCCATGGGGAGGGAGGGGACCCACAGCCCTCTCCTCATCCAGGCTTGGGAGATGCCCATTCCTGCCCTCTGCCAAGGAGCCGGTGGGGAGTGGTTCCCACACAGAAATCCGTGGTTACTTCATCACTGTACCCTTATCTCATTAAAATTAGAGATTATTATCCCAAAAAAATGCTTCAGTACAGGCAGGTCATGTAACTGCTGGTCAGGATTTGGGATGGGGAAGCAGTGGCTGAGACAGAGGCTCACAGACAGGGGTTTATCCAACCCCCAAGCCAAGGACGAGCTTGGGAAGCGCAAGGGATCAGCCAGTGAAGGCAACACCCAGGTCCCACTGCAGTGTGAGGGGCTGCACACGAGCTGTGGATTTACCCTGTGTGGAGGCTGGAGTTGAGCAGCTCTCCCCCAGCCAGAGCTGGGCCAAGGAGAGCACTGCAGAGGCTGCCAGGCCATCCCTGCCCCGCCCGCTGTGTCATCTCCTGCCGTGCTCCCCAGCGCCTGGCACACACCGGAAAAGGTGAGGCACACCCAGCCCACGGGGCATCCCCGCCTGTGCTCACAGGCTCCCAGGGCCATTCCTGCACGTCCTTGCTCCTCTTCTTGGCCTGAGCCCATTGGGAACCGGGTGGGAGGACAAAGGGATGTGGCATCCCTGGGCAGGCTGATCCCCGTGCTGGCACCGCTTCCAGGTGTGTGTGAGCCTCCCTCCCGGGTCAGATTGCTGTGCTGCTCCTGGAAGGTGCTGCCAGGCTAGCTGGAGGCAGGGACTGGCATTCCCAGGCTCACTCCACACAGCCTCACAGGACTGCAGCCGACAGCCCCCTCGCGAAAAAGGTGACATTGCGGTCCTGGATCTTGTACTGGTAGAGCTGGACGAGATCCTGCTGCCCCGCCTGCTGCAGGGACACCCTCTGGATTATCTTCAGCTGCAAGGGAAAGGAACAGCAACATCATCCTCTGGCTGCCCCC